CACGATTCCTACCACCTCCTCTTCCATTCGTATCACACGCTATTTCAGCACTTTTATTGGATGGTATTTAACGTAAAAAAATTAAACCAGGACTTTTCCTTAGGTGTGACTGCAGGGACTTTAGCGTGATTTAAATCTAAGGGTCAGTGTAATCAGCCGACTCTTCTCGAAATATCTGTAAAAATTACCTGAGAAAGACAATTCAAACTAGCCAGTAATCTTAAGAATTTAGAAGAATATTCCCGTAATCTAATATTTTATTGAATTTTAGGTTCTTTGGCTTAAAATTTACTATAGTTACCGCTATTATTTTCCCATAATATCGCGTATGGACCTCCATATTTACAAAAATCGGCACGTTTATACAAACACAAAAAAAAATTCAAAATTCTTTTCTAAATACTGTTGATCGCTGAATTGCAGTAAGCTTTTCCATTTATGATTACTAAATATAATTTTTACTTCATTAGAATATCATCTAACCAGTACAAATTAATACAGAATTTTAAAAAGATTTAAAAAATTATAAATTATTATAATTAAGATTTTAAAAGAATGACTACAATTCTTGTAAAAATTATTATTCATCGAAAAAAAAATTAAGAAAATAGCGTCCATAATATATCTTATTCATAAAAGTAATTCGAAACTTTTCTAATTAAATAATTAATTTATTTTACGATTAGGAACTGAGATCAGGTTTAAAAAAAAATGATGATTTAAATTCTCTAAGTACCCTGCGTATAGCTAATATAAACTTTAAGCAGTACAAAAATGAATTTCTCGAAGTTTCATAAAATTAAACAAGTGGGGGATAACAGAGATACAACATGTTTTTACGAAGATTTCCTAAAAAAGAAACATTTCCAAAATAATTTCTATTATTTGTGAATATGTCCTGAGAGTTTCATTAAAATCCGAAAATTATTGGATTTTTACAAGAATTTCCAAATGAATGTGTTTTTTTAACCCCCAAAAGACGTTAAAATTTCTTATACTAATTTATGGCATCCAATTGACGCAAGAAAAACAAAATTTTAACCAAAATTTTGATCTTTCTAAAAGGATTAAAAAAATATTATTTAATTATCAAAAATTTCTTTGGTTTTTCAGTTGCTGGGATCATTTTGAGACGACGACGGTTTTAGATAATCCTTCACCAGAATGGAATGAAGCATTCACATTTTGCCAACTCTCACAATATCAAGTAAGTGCTGATACTAAGTGACACTAGGTAAAGAATTAACGTGACGATCATTTGAAAGTCAAAGCAAGTATAAGACAATTGGATTTTTTGTAGAATCAATATAGATGTTTTATCCTAATCATGAATTCCAATCTATGTAAAGAACGAACATATATTCATGTCACTTTTTAATGGCAATCTCAATTCTTCTGAAATCACACTTGAAGAATTGTCTTTGGTTTTTCTTTCTTTTATTTACTTTTATTTCACAGTTGGTTTCCTTCACAACAAGAGAGAAGAAATAAGAAATTAAAAGGTTATCTCATATAAAAATTCTATTTCTCAATAAAATATCTTCTATGGTTAAAACCATATTTTTTAGAGCAAATTACAAAGCACTATACATATAATAGACCTATTTTGTCAGCAGTGTTTCTCAAGCTTTTTTTTTACTCCAAGGCCGCCCACTTGTAAAATAACTGAAACTCTGGGGTGCATTTTAAATTTTAAAAATAAAACATTAGTGATGAAACATGAAAATATAAAATTTTGGTTTAGCATCCACAAAGATTAGCGGTACAGTTTTCATTTAAATGTATTTATGAAGAATTTATTTCTTTTAGAACCGTCCTGGGTATGACAATAAACTACATTTGCGTCCTGGGTATGACAATAAACTACATTTGCGTCCTGGGTATGACGATAAACTACATTTGCGTCCTGGGTAAGACGATAAACTACGTCCAAGAGCGAGGCCTCTGATCAGGAGGTTATGAGGAGCGTGGAATCACCTCTTAATTGCTGGTGTTCCCAGGTCCACCCTGACCCGGTGTGGTAACACCTGTTAGGGTTGCAGCTATGGGCATATAGTTAACGCCCCCCCACAAAAAAAACTGGAGTTAAAACACTATGAAAATGTAAAAATAGGTTTTAATACCAGAAATACTTTGCAAAAAGTTATTACCAGAAATACTTTGCAAAAAGTTATTACCAGAAATACTTTGCAAAAAGTTATTACCAGAAATACTTTGCAAAAAGTTATTACCAGCAATACATATTACCAGCTATACATTTTTTGAAAAAAATATTACCATCAATAAAAATGCTGTCGGCATTAAATAAACCATTGAGGTTGATATGCCGTAAAACAAACCAAACCAAACCAGAAATACTTTGTAAAAAATTATTACCAGCAATAAATTGTTGAAGGAAAAATTTTTTACCAGCAATACATTGTTGCCAGCAATACATTTTTGAAAAAAAAATTAGCAATACATTTTTGAGAAGAAAAAAAATTACCAGCGATACATTTTGAAGAAAAAATATTACCAGAAATATATTTTTTGAACGAAAATATTACCAGCAATAATTTTTTTTCGGCATTAAATAACCCATTGAGGCTGATATGCTGTAAAACAAACCAAACCAAATCTTTTTGGAAAGGCTGATCATGAATGATAATTTAAATCCCTTGAGGAAGGCAAAAAAAGAAAGTATTATCTACTCTTTAAAGATTAAGGAATTTATCATCCAGTTTAAAATGTCAAATGACAAAGGCTTGACTTTGACATGAAAGCCATATACTTGGTGTCACTTGCTTTGTAAAAATAAAGATTTTTTTAAATACAAAAATAATTGATAAATTATTTTTCTGTTAACTTGGAGCGCACCTGGCTACATTTTAGGGCGCATTAGTTCGGCCGGTCACACCGTTTGAGAAACACTGTCAGTGTCAATGACATTAATAGGATGCTTATAAAAAGAGAAGAGATATCTTTATCTTTTCTACTCAATAGATACATTAGTATATACATGATATGCTAACACCTTACCACGACGGAAGGAATAACTACAATAATCTAACGAAAAAAATGACTTATGTATCAAAAATTTTATATACAACACTGAAGCATAAAACTACGTCATACGAACATGCAATACATAAGAGGGCTGCTGAAAAAGTTCTAAGCCTCACCCAAAAGGAGTTGAAGAAGCAAGACAATGTTTCACTATTTTACAATATAACCCCCCTTGATATCAATGCAATTGGCCCGACGATGCTTAAGCTTGGCAATCCTATCATGGAAGAAGGTGGTGTCCTGGTCCTCTAAAAACACTTCCATAGACCATATAATCTTATCATTGTTTCCAAAATGGCTATCACGCAGATGGGATTTGAATTTAGGAAACAAGAACAAATCAGATGGTTACTGGTAAGAAAGGTGGATGAGGTAGCAATTCAAAACCATAGTTTGCTTCTGCAGCTACTGCAACCTGAGCAGTGTCAACAGGCGCGTTATTCTGGAATAAGAGCACACCTGTTCTCAGCTTCCATCTGCGTTTCAAATTGGTTGCACCTTTCATTTTTCTTAATCCAGGTAGTTTATCATTATTTGCCTTCAGAATTAAAAAAAACAGAAGCCATCACCTTGCCAACAGACGTTGTCTCATTGAACTTCTTCGAGGATGGAGAACCAGAATGTTTACACTGTTTGCTTTGAGTCTTCGATTCAGGTTCGAATTGGTGAACCCAAGTTTCATCTTGCGTTACTAATCTGAGGGGAAATTTCTCTGGGTCAGCCTGGAAGCGAATTGGAAGTGCCCTGGAAATGTTAACCCTTTTTTGGCTTCTGCTCTGGTGTCCGCGTTCTTGAAACCCATTTTGGAGACAGCAAAATTTAGAATACAGTTTGATTTCTTTAAGAAATTGTCGGATATTATATGGATTAATGTCATGAAAGAGTTTTTCATGTTGGTCCGTTGATTTTGTTTAGTGGAATATCAACTATTAACGCCGAAATCTAAATATTTTAAACACAATTTTATGGCTTCAATTAAATAAATTTTAAAGGTAATTGTATACCTTCAACTACAGATAAAATGTATTGTTGGTCATTCTAGAAAATTGTGTTTTTATGCTTTCATAGTGTTTTGTTTTTGTTTACATATTTCCCATAGCTGGGACCCTTACAGGTGCTACCATCCCGGGTTAGGATGGACCTGCGATCAACAGCAATTAAGAGGTTGTTCAACGCTTCTCAAAAACTCCAATCGCCCGATCAGCGGCCTTGCTGCCGGATATAGTATATCGTCATACCTAGAATTATAGAACTTCATAAAAGACCCTCATAAATATATATATATATTCATCATATATTGATGTTTTTACATGTAAGAGAAGATAAGAAATACAGCTTAAGAGACTATGTAGGAAAGTTATCAGTTAATGCTCGACTTAAAGAGATTAAGTTTATATTGATCGGGGAAGCAACACTTCAAAATTTATTGTATCACTGTATACTTAGATAAATTAATTAGGACGTTGCCTAATGATTAAAAGATATTTACTTTCTCCGACGGATATTAATTCTTCAACATAATTTTCTTGTCAAAGCATTTAAATCAACGCTTAATCACGCAAGCTGAACATATTACAATGAACATTTCAGCTTAAATTTATCTAATAATTGAGTCAGTTTACGGACTTATTAATTTATTCTCCGCTATAAATATCAGCGTGAATGAAATGTTAAATTATTTGTTTAATAAATGTTACCAGTAATAAAACTTACATAATACACCAATTTTATGTAAAACTATTTCAAGTAGTTGAAAGAAATACAGGTTGTGTTCAAATAACACGAGTACAGATGTAAATAAGAATTTCAACAAGAATTAACATTCTTGAATCTCTCTCTCACCTCTCTCTCTCTCTCTCTCTCTCTCTCTTTCCACTGCTTTCTTTTTCATTCTCTTTTTTACCCACTTTCTATCTCTCTATATATATCTTTCTACTTCTCACTTCTTTCTCGAGTTTTCTTTTGTTTCCTTTCTATTTTTTGCTTTCTTTCTTCTTACTTTCTTTCTTTTTCGTGTGCGTGCATCTTTTAGGATTTATTTAAGTCAAAATTAACAATCTTTACTCTAACCCTCTCTCCCTCTCCCACCGCTCTTTCTCACTCAGTCTCTTTCTTTCTACCCCTTTCACTTTCATTCTCTTTTTTACTCACTTTCTATCTCTCTCGATGTATATATCTTTCCATTTCCCTCTTCTAACCAGAATTAACATTTTTTACCCTCTCTCTCTTTCTACCACTTATATATATAAGTGCTCACTTTTCATCCTTTTCTTTCTCTCTCTTCTTTCTTTCTATTTGTCTTTCTTTCTCTCTGTCTTTATTCCTCATCGGTCTGTATATTTCGGGATTCATTGAGTTCTTAAATTATTTTTAGCTAAAAACAACAGCCTTGGAAGTGACATTATGGTCATTCAATAAAAACGCTGACGACACTTTTATTGGCGAAGTTTTACTCGACTTGTATGAAGCTGCGCTGGATGACCAACCAACCTGGTATGACTTAGAGGATCACGATGAGAACAGCTCTCCATTGCCGGATCGAACCAAAATGTATCCGGAAAATTCGCCGATGAGTTCAACTTCAACTGAAACCTCCAGAACCGGAACACCTTGCAGAGGATCATCGCCAAGTCCGTTCAACAGAAGCCCTGCCGGTTCCTTCAGCCAAAGAAGTATGTCAGTCACACCAACACACGACAAACGAAAACATTTACTCAGCAAAAAGTCTCCAGGTAAGCATTCTTTTTCTCCATCTGTTTCTTTCTCCCCACCCCCACTCTCTCTCTCTCTCTCTTTCTCCCCCACTCTCTCTCTCTTTCTCTCTCTCTCTTTCTCTCTCTCTCTTTCTCTCTCTCTTTCTCTCTTTCTTTCTCTCTCCCCGCACTCTCTCTCCCTCTCTTTCTCTCTCTCTCCCCCCTCTCTTTCTCTCTCTCTCCCCCTCTCTTTCTCTCTCTCTCTTTATGTCCCTCTCTTTCTCTCTATATTAGTTTATTTCTAAAAATTTCATAAAAAACGACCTCCACGCTATTTTGGTAATGGTTTCAATTATGACTGGCGTAAATTCTTACAAATAAATCCGCCATCATTGATTAGAAAGAATGATATTTACGTTTATCATGTCATATAGGTGGCGAATTTCCTGAGATAAGAATGATTTACTTGAAGGCCAATAGCATATTTCTTAAAAATAAAGCTTCTCAGATATCTCCAGAAATCATTAACAAATTGACCAACAGATTTGGATTAATGAACGAATTTGTAGAGAGATGGTTATAACAATAAAGTGTCATTTCGTCTCATTGATTTATCATTGTTTCCCGATTTGGCTGCCATAGCTACAAATGATGCTCTATTGTTACAACTATTAGATGTTCTCTACTATGTTGTGTTACATATTTGCCAGTCAACATTATGGAAGTGAGTTTTGCTGTTATCGCTACCATTATCATTTCATTATATTTATTATTTATATTTATCAGATTGAGACAAGTTAGACACAATGATATAGGTGTGGGTACCATAGTGAATATCATACTCACTACATTAGTAATAGTCTGTAAGATTATTGCTTTTCCTGAAAAGTACCTTTTTGATATTTATAATATACCTGATATTTACAAAGCCAAGATTAGTATTGTATAAGGATAAAAAGTGAGGCACATGGTGAGGATCGAACTATAGTTCATTAACACAGATGGTTGCTTTTGATTCAGTCAGTTATGTGCCATGCGAGATACACGCTAAGGCGATCATATATTTTTCGATAGTTGACTGAAGAGGCAGATTTTTCCCGCAGTAAGTTGCCATTCTTTCAGCGGTAGGCCAGTTGCCATCCAAAGCTATAGAACCCGGTCTGTCTTGCTATTTGCCCTTCGCTGGGGGGAGAAGAAGAGGATTCACACCTTTCCCAAGGGTATTATTAGCACGTAAGTGAATGTAATGATTTCGACTGCTTGTACTTAATTTAATTTTTAAAATCTAATCTTTCTATCGAGGTATAGGCAAGTCGAGCTTAAAACAACAGTGAGAATCGAAATCATTTCATTAGCTAAATGTTTGAAGAGGAAAGATCGCTAACCACCGCACTAAATTGAGTATTTTGATTTGATTTATTGTTATTACAATTAGTTAAATACTACTAATAATAAATAAAATAAGACTTCTACTTCAACAAAGGAAAACCATTTTCTGCTTCGTATCTAACGAGTTCTTTAGCCTTTGATCGTGATGCTAATAAAACTCTTTTTCTCCTTCTCTCTGTCTCATTTTTCGTACATTTTTATACTAAAATTCACACAGTACAAGTCTCAAGAGCCACTCATGCTAGACGGTTACGCAATGAGGTGCGTAATATGAATGTAAGTGGAAGTAGAAGGAAGTGAAGAAATGCGAGGATAATGAGGATAGATTTAAGCGGGCTATTAGATAGACATCTAGGCCCCCTCCCGTTTGCTGTTGAAATAGCTAAATGCAACCAACACTTCTACTCTCAGTTTCTTTTCTCGCACTTCCCACCTGTGGAAAAATCCATTCCGTTTACTTTCTTCCCTGATAAGTACAATCTTCAAAAATTTAAATGCAACGTCAATCGCCATGTTCTATCTTCTTGAATCTCGTTCATCTTTTGTCCTTTCCTCAATCCTCTATATACTCAGTCTTTTCTCTCACTTTCACTCCCTGTAACTCCCACTACATACTAGTGGCATTGCTTGGGGTAAAACGATTAAAAAAAAATGACAGTAATTGACTCTTGACTGGAAAAGTTTAAAATTGCAGTGTTCAAGGAAACATCCACTCGGTTGATTGTTCCAGAAAGTAGCATTTCTTGCAGAAAAGCTGTCTGAGAAACCGCCTCCTTACTATTGGAATATGGAAAGAATGTGGCTGACTTGAATCCGTGAACATAGAATGGTGAGTCGTAGCTGGTATGAGTATTAGCCATGGAAATAGCTATAGATTAGCGATGGGCTTGCACGTTGCATCTGTGGAGAAAGAGGCTGGAGAGAGGAGAAATAGTTTCCTTCTCCTTAAGTCCGCATAAATGATTTAGAACTCTATCAAGGCTGAAGAGTGAGGATTGAGCAGCTCCAGTCCAGATATGACAGCAAAACTCCATTTTGCGTCTAATTTCACTCTTGTAAAGACACACGTTTCTAAATGCACATTCGTTAAGAGAATTAAAAGATATGGTTGTAATTATATATAAAATATGGGCATGAATAATTTTTGAATATGCCAATTTGTGTTTAAATTGCAAATAATTTTTTAATGAAACTTAATTTTCTTACAGAGATCATATAATAATTTATAATAATCTTCTTTCTTGAAATTCCAATTTGGGTTGGAATTTTTTTTTAACAATTTACACACTAAAAATTTCACACAAAAATGTGATTTCGAAGCCTTATTTGCATAATGCCTATCAATTATATAATATCGCCACACACGTTTTAGCTGAATACAAATGTATCTTTTATTCATAGTCATAACTGAGGCAAACACTATCAATAATACTTGTTAATATTTCATTGTTTCATACGAATTCTGTTTTCTTGTGCTGCATACTCCAGGATGTACAACTACACATTCACGCACACACATACACACAAAGACACACCAAATTTCGTCTCACCAAAAGCAGTGACAAATTGATAAAGAAAAAACAAACCCCAGACCACACCTCTATTCAAAACTATATATATATATATATAAATGTGTAAAACATTCCATACCATAGTTATTCCAAAACATAACTTGAGGATGAAACTGTCACCCATTGGTTAAGGTTTAATATTGTAATGCTGACCAGTTTCGAAACATAGTAATTTCGGTGTCGCGATGTAATCATATTTAAAAGAAATAATTATATATATATATATATATATATGTGTGTGTGTGTGTGTGTGTGTATGTATATCCTGTTTATACGTTATTTATAGATACAAATATTTAAGTTCAGTTTATAATAAACAGTATTAACAACATTTACCACCCTGAATGTCTGATAAATTTCATAGAAAATATGTGTCCTTCGACAGGAATCGAACTTGTATCCTACTAATCATCATATAGCCTGACGTGCTATACCATTTATCTATAGAGGAAGCGTCTGTTTAGCAAGGTCAGATTACTTTTTTAAATATGTATATATATATATATATGTGTGTGTGTGTGTGTGTGTGTGTGTGTGTGTGTGTGTGTGTGTGTGTGTGTGGAGGTGGATAGAGATACGAAAAGTGTAAATTGAGGTCAACACCAAGCGGCGTCTGCCTGTTTCGTGCTTGAATGCAGTCTTCAAGTCAGAAAAAATAACGTTCCGAAGATTGCCTTCAAGCATCTAACAGACAATCAGCGTTTGCTGTTGACTTCAGTGTCCACTTTTATATTTTGACCACAGTGCCCGCTCAGTCTCTACTTTTATATTTTCATACGCTATATCTCTAATATTGAACACTTTTACCACATAGCATAGCTTAAAACTATATTTTTATCATATATATATATATATATATATATATATATATATATATATTACCAATTTGTGACTGGAAAGGATAATTCCGAGGAGGATATAAATCCAGGGAGAACTCAATGTAAACTACAGAGCATTATAATGACACTAAGAAGAGGGAGATTTTAATTATCCATTTTGATTATAAATTATTTCGTGAACACCGAGGTGTTCAAATCTTCAGGTCGAGCTCTCCCCCGTAAAATTTAAGGTGTTCACGAAATAAATTATAATCGAAATTGATAATTAAAGTAACTTATACGTAATTACATCAATATATTGACAGTAATAATGGATAGGCATTTATTTTGAGCAAAAATATTTATAATATTTATATTCTAATATATTCTACAATTAAGTACACTTTAATTCACAAAGCTCGAACATTATACAATGAAAATGTCAGATCAAATTAATAATGAGTTTGATCCATTTTCGTATGCACGCACACATGCACATAAAGTAAATACATAAGACAATTTAGAAAATCTCTTTTTCATGTTTAATAAAATCTACCTTAGCGGGACAAAATATAACAACATACTCAATGTTTACGTATTTGAATAAAAATAAAATAAATATAATTTACATAGACGAATATATATATATATATATATATATATATATATATATATATATATATATATATATATATATATATATATATATATATATATATATATATATATATATATATATATATATATATATATATATATATATATATATAAATATATATATATATATATATATATATATATATATATATAAATATATAAAAATAATATATATATAAATATATATATATATATATATATATATATATATATATATATAAATATATATATATAAATATATATATATATATATATATATATATATATAAATATATATAAATATATAAATATATATATATATATATATATAAATATATATATATATATATATATAAAGAACCTATAAAACATTAAAAAAAAATCTTAAAAATAAACGAATAGACATTGAATTAATTATGATTTACAAACCCATTGTTTCAATTTAGTAAGATCTGAGATCTTACTAAATTGAAACAGTGGGATATATAAAGCTTAAAATACATGAATAAATAAATGAAATCTACGTTGAAATTAGGTACAATCTAATTTCTACAATAATACCGTGAAAGTAAGAAAATAAATCAAGCTTTAACATCAATCACCTTTTGTTTTTCACTAATGTAGATTTTATTAAAATGAAATTTTCTGACAGTGGTTTATCAGTGAAAAATGTTTCAAATAATTTTTTTAATGTCCTATTCCATTGATTCTCATCCATTTATATATATATATATATATATATATATATATATATATATATATATATAAAATATTATAATTTATTTTGTAGCCTAATTTATATTGTAAAATAGGTTATGTAAGTATTGTATTGCTTCTTAAGGTGTCCTTTTTTTATTGCCATAAAATTGTAAATGCGACATGTAGATACAA